AACAAATACTATTAAGAAAGTTGGGTAGAAGAATGATTCTGTGAGGGAAAGATGATTATAAGTGTCAAGCTTTGGATCTGCGGGGAATTGTCTATTCCCATCATTGGAGCACCAGGATGTAATTTCCTAATTTCTCTAGGGAGCTGAAGTTTTGTTGTTTGTTTGTTTGTTTCTTTGTGTGTGTTTATGTGTGTATTTTTTTTTTCCCTCCTTAAGGCTTCGAAGAGGAGTCACCATCTAAACTGGGCTTTGAAAGATGAGTAGAATTTTCCAAGTGAGGAAAAGACATTCTGAGCAAGGGTCAAGTCTGATGAGAGAGTTAGAAACCAAAGCTGACTCAAGAAAATTCTAGTATGGGGGACAGGATAAATAACTTTACTGTTAACTAGGAGGGGGATATTGAAGTATAATTGAGGATGGGGTAGATTAAATAGGACCTCTGACTTGGGTATGTTAATTTGGGGAGTCTGGAAATTTCACAAAATGCTATTTTGATTCTTTCCATTGAAATGTATTCATTACCCCAAAAGTACTTGGACCTCAAAAATGCAGACATAAAAAAATTAATCTATTCTCAAAATGCTTATAGACCCTGGAAAGAGAGATAAGGGAATAATTATAATGCATATTTAAATATGCTTTGATAGTGATAACCACAGTCTGTCATGGGGAACTTGGGATTTTTTGTTTGTTTGTTTATCACCTAGAGGAGCCTGAGAATGGGAATGGGGTGGAGAGCTTTAGGAAAGAATTCCTGTGAGATTGCCTTATGGGACTCCAGTTTTATTTTGAAGTATGAATTAATCAGATGACAGGAAGGTGGAGAGCAGGGGAAACATTTCAGGCAGAAATATGTGCTTATGTGATGCCTTGAAGGTGTGAGAAAAATAACCTGAATGTAGGACACTACTTGTGGTTATGTTTAACTGGTAGGAAATGTGTAAGTGGAGGTTGAAAGCATCCTATAGGTCATGTGTGCCTTCATGTTTATTTTGCAGTCTTTAGAGTAAAGGTGCTCGGAAGCTAGTAAGGATTTTGAGCAGGGGAATGGCTCAGTCTGGTGAGACGCTCACAACCAGTTGGAAATATGTACCTGAAGTTCAGAAGAGCGGGTGGGTTTGAAGTATCACTTAACTAGGTTACAATAATGCCTAAAATATCCATCATGCTTAGTTACAAAGATAAGCAGGTGAACAGAAGTTATATTACAGTATGTTAAGTGTACTACTATTAACTGCTATGAATTGAGTCTAGAGGAAGAGGAAGTAATGGGACTATGAATTTGGGACTCATGAGTTATGGGGTATCTTCTGGACTCAGACTATTGCTTTCCCCTAGATCTGGTTTCCATCTATCCTGTCTCTTAGGGAGCAGCCATTGGCCAAGGCTGTTCTCTGAAGAATGTGCACACCCCCAGTAATGAGGTACAGAATACAGACAGCTGAGCTGAGTGAACCTAATTACTGATTATAAAACTATTAAAGGTCTGAGGAGACAAAATGTTTACACATGCCCAAGCTTACTTTGATGGTATAAAACTACTAGCTGCACCGTATTGAGGTGCAGACCTCACCAACCAGATGTCATCAGTGTCTCATTTAAGGCAAATAAACCAATGTCTTTGCTGAATCTTCGGGTGACTTCTTGAATAAACATCATTTTGCAAACCCTCACATTTGGGGTTGTTGCATTACATGGAAATATGAGTGGTATTTAAAACTGAGAATATTGATGAGATTTTTCTGGAGAAAGAATTTAAAGACATCATAGAACTAAAGCTAGAATTCTGGGGGACAAGCAAGTTTTATAGGACAGTGATTGAACAAGAATTATCTAAAGCCATGATTTTAACACCGAGTATTGCAACCCACTAATAGATTATGAAAACAGTATAGTAGATATGTAATCTGTATGGTTGGTTTTAGGCAGAATTTTGAACACAGATTAGGAAAGAATAGACAGTATTAATGTGTAGAAAGTAAAGGTTATTGTTTTGTGAAAATGCATACAGGGGTTTGTGCATGTGTGTACTGGGTACTGTGTAAAATGCATTTCTTTATTAGTTGTGGTTACAAACATTTTAAAAGCACAAATAAAAGAGACAACTGTTAGAAATAATTAGATCACCTCTGTTCTTTACTATTCTAATGACAAGGAAGAGAAATGAACCCAGTGTAAGTGTAATGGGAAGGAGATTTTTCTCTTTGTGATCTAGAGGCCAGTCATTCCCTTTACTGTATTAGTTATATTTGAGCAAGAATACAAAGAAATAGGGGAAAAGGATCAGAAAGATACTGAACTCAAAGGTGAAGAAGAGAGAATGGAAATATGAATGAGAACTATGAATGAGAATGCAGTTTTTTGTTGTTGTAGTTTTTGCTATTAGGGTGCTTGCGCTTGCTGGAGGCAGAGATAGAAAGGGAAAGTGAGAAATCACCCCCAGGGGGATTGGTCACACCTTAATCCCTTCTCCATTCTCCTCTTAGGATTTTAGGTATGCACACACACACACATGCCCAGTGTGTTTTTCAAGGTGCCAAGTGCAGGACTCCAATCTCACAGTTGGCCATGTAGGATCCAACCACCTTAACCACCTTAACCACCATGCCACTTGGCCACTTGGCTAGCCCAAGAATGGCCCTTATGGTAGGGCAGGTCAACTTTCCATATATGCCTGTTCTTAAGATAACAAAAGCTTTGTTTTCTAGCACCATGGCCCAAGGTAGCCCTTGGATATACCTTACTGTATTAGTTCCATTCCTCACTAGAGAGTAAGTCAGAGGAGGAACCCGAGAAAAGGGTATAAATCTGAACATAATTAAAATTGTGATGTAGTACTGTCAACAATAGAAGTTACTGAGGGGGTGAAGAACTATCACAAACACCTGAAATGAATTATTTCACCAAATAAATTAGTATTTGTTAGGTCTTAATGTCTTGCACATGGTAAGTACTTACAGTATGTCTGGTTGTTATTAGAATAGTGTGCATGGTAATAATCACTTGGTAGGCATGGGTATATCTATTTATTATTAGGTAATTACTATCACCCTTTCACTAGTAAAAGGACACAATAAAGTTAAATAATTTGTTCAAGAGAACTAACTAGAAAGAAATGGAGTCAATCCTGAGTTGGTGGTGAGAGGTTACTATATTAATAGACACATAGTAAGTTATGTGATGATTGGTGCTTGAAATAGGGCAGAGAGAAAAGATGTGTCATAGGTGAAAGATATTAAGATGAAAAAGCTTGCCGACTGTTTAGCTATGAAGTAAAAAAGATAAACTTTTTAGCTATTCAACTGGGAAAATGGTTAATAGGATGTAAGAAAACAAAATTTTATTTGGTAGGAAATGATGACAGATCCTCATCATGTTGAATTTTGTATTATTAGATAGCCTAGTGAAATTAGACAAACAATTCAAAACTAAGAGATTTAGACATTACCACATGAAGAAATTGGTTGAAGCTTTAGGGGTGTTAAGAGACCTCCAAGAATAATCAATACTTTTTGGCCACAAAATCCTGGGGAGTCTAGAATGAGGTCATAGTGACAGCCTTGACACAAAAGTTTCACCATTGTCCACATCTGCTTTGTGGAGATCTACAAATCCAAGAATCTTCAAAAAAGATTATGTCATGACTGCTCCTGGGACTGGTTGTGGCTTAACATCCACTACTGTTCAAGTGTGGGGTTGTTGGGACTGAGAATGAGAACACCACCATTCCAGTAAGGCCCCGCTTAGTGGTTACTATAGGGTAAATTTGCACGTGGGGAAGATTGGACAGATGGTGGTTCAGAAGCACCTGAAACTTCTGTCTTGCGTTTTTTGGTCCATGCTGTCCTGAGGCAAGCCTGAGGTTTTCAAAGGACACTTAAGGGCTGCATCTGGGCTGAGAGCATGTTTTCCCCCCTAGCACCTGAAATCACTAATTTATCTTACCAACACTCAACTGGGTTGATGAGAGATCATCAACTTAAGCAGCTAGGACAGGAATCGGAAGAATGGGAGCCCAAGATGGTGTCTGTATTTAAGAAACTGGGCTACTCAGCCTCACTCTTACCCCTATTTTCCTCGCTTCTGTTCTGCTTGCTGTCATTATGGCCCCTCGTATTGCCACCGGCGGCTCCTCTCTGAAGGTAGAAAGCCTCAGTTGTTGTTTGACGCAAGTTGCTGCTTCCCCCAGTGACATTTTTGGAGAGTCAGTAGTGAAAAACTTACTTTTTCTATTGTCACACCATTTTCACCTCAGGTGAAGACTCATTCACTGGCTTTGTCTGTACCTTTGTCTAAATAATAAGTATGTTGGCTTTATGGTTCCTCAGTAACAAGTTTGTGCAGAGTGGGTGCCTGGCCTGCAGATGAATTCTTGCACCAAGTATTTCTCAATTGCTATTCTATTATTCTCAGGCATGGCTACTTTCTGAACCCTAGGATACAGGCCAGCTGTTAGACTCAAACTGGGAATAGGGTCCTTGGTACATGCTCTCTTGAGAGAAGAGAGGTCAAGGAAGGAAATCTCTCTAGTTTAAAAAATGATTATCCCATCACCCGTTCTTCTGGTCCTCTTAGTTGGTCAAATGAGTGTTTTCTGGTTGACTTGAGATGACTTTTCTCTTTTCTCCAGCTGGAGCAGTGAATGTATGGAATTAGATTCCATCTGAATATTCTGTTGGGAGATCTTATTCATTTTTTCTTTTTTTTTTTTAAATCCCTTTGAAGAGTTCCATACCTCTTATTAGAGATTAGTAAAGATTTGGATACCTAGAATATTTTCCTTTCAAATAAATATTGGTAATTTATTTTTCTCTGGCTCATCTGTGAGGAATGTCAATGAGCCCTTTTGAAAACTCATCATTTGCAGTGACTTTAGAACAGCCGTTTATCGAGAGGTACTATATTAGAAATGTTTTATTGCTCTCGAGCTATGAAATGCAAGGAACCATGAAGATTGAAAAATACAAATGATAGATGTGTCTTTTTCTCCTTATTTTTAGCCTTCTTTAAATCCTGGGGGAAGCCAGTCATCTGATGTGGTACTTTTGAACCACTGGAAAGTGAGGAATTTTGAAGTACGACGTGGTGACATTGTGTCATTGGTGTAAGTAATGCAAAAGCATATTGAATTTGTATATAAAATTATTATGTTGATTAAACTAGTAATCCACTGTTAAAACCATATTGCGTTATTAATGAGTACATTTAAAATCCATTTTTAAAGTTAGTTTTGAAATGTAGCAATGCTATAAAAATGATTTTTTTTCTATTAAAATGTATCAGTTGATTGGCATCATTGAATTTGGTAAAAGATGTTTAATGAAATGTTGATTAACTATGATAGCAATGTCTAAAACATATTTGGTGGTATTTTGGAATATTTTGGAATCTTGCATCTCAATAAGCAACTTGTTTGTTTTCCCCACGCTTCTTAGTTTGTGTACCTAACAAATACTTCTAAAAGTCGATAATTATGACATGCAATTCAGTGACATTTTTGTATATCAGTTCAGCTGAAAAAAGGTTTGGAAGACTAGTAGGAGAGGCTTTTGATACCAAAAGGTGGCACTGTTTCCCTGTTAGAATATTGTGACTTAGGAACAAAATTTCGCTCCTGTTAATGTAAGAAAGGAATGTCAAAGTATGCATAACTGACATAATGATACAATACAGAGTCCTACTACATGCTCGAATGGCTTATAACTTGAGATTTTTGTTTGTTTCACAAGTAAAGTCACACTGAGAAGACTGTAGCAGAACTTAACTAATTTCATTCTGTTTCTGCTACTTATAAAAAGGTTTCAGTATGATCCCCTGGTATGCCAGTTAGTGCACTAGAATAGCATAATGTAGCAAGGTTGCTGCCAATTGTTTGAGACATACTGAGAACCTACTGTTGGGTAAAGACTTGTTCAATTTTATATTTCTGGTTCTTGAATCAGAATGTTTTTTTCTTGTTGGATGACAATTTATAATTGATCAAAACAAAATTATTATTTACTTATCTATATTTGCCTTTGATCAGTGCTTTGTGGTAATAGATACTCTATAAATGTCTGTTTCAAGACTTCTACCAGGGTTCATTTGAAAACATACAAACTAAATCTGGGTAGTAACTAATGAAATAAATACATTCGAGTGGCATTTTGTGTGGCAGGCATTCAGATGTGGGGATTAATTTTCAGATTTTGAGTGCTTTCTTTAATATTCATCTACTCTTTAGAGTATACTTTTATTTTGTCATTCAGAATACTATTTTTGCAACCTCCTTAACAACCTTTCCATGCTGGTTTAGCCTGTCGTAGGCTCATTATTCTTTTGCCTTTGGTTTGACAAGGTTATATCCTCGCTTAGTTGGTGATAGAGAGGATATCCACCCAAGTGAAAGAGGTCACTCTGTAAGCAGACAATTGTGCTGTGTGTGTATATATATATATTTATATATCCCCCCCCCCGCCCCCGTGGAAAACATGCTATCTCTAAGCAAGTGAATTTAAATAGATAATTGAAAAAAGAAAAAAAAAAAAACTTCTTGAAATTTAAGATTGCATGGGTCCATAAAAGTAGTTTAGCATATCATGGATTATAAAGAGAATACTATTCTTTTACGTAAATATTAAAGAGATTGATAATTACACACATTAAAAATACTCATTGTGGTTGATATAATTACAGCTACTGTAGTTAAATTTTATATGTACTGTATTTAAGAAAATCATTTATATTCATTCACTGTACATCAATATAGTATACAAAATGAGATTATCCATCCCAAATACACTGTATTGGCTCAATCAAGGCTATTACCATACATGTTATCATCAACAAATAATTTTCCATCTCTTGTTTCTTATATATTTTGCTTTTTTTTTTTTTTCATTCCTTGATTCTATACCTCTCATCCTGTCATTTCTCACCCTCCTCCCATACTGTCTCAGGTATCTACATTGAACTGTATTCTTAATGAGACTATTAATGTGCAGTTCATCAATACATACGTAATCTTTGAAAACAAGGTAGTATGATATTTTTATGTTTAAAAACTCCTGGGACAGCATTTTACATATCCAGAATTTGTGGAAATACAGTATTTTCTGAAAATCCATTTCTGGAAAATCTGGTTTGCAAATTCATACCTAAATTAGTAGGGCTTATACAACTTTGTAATTAGAACACTAATAAAAACAATAAAAATCCCAATTATACACAACTAGCAGTTTGAGACATATGAAATATTTTTAATAAAGAAACTGCAGTAAATACTGGATTTAACTTAACAGTGAAGTTACTTTGATAAGTAATAAGGAAAAGGCGAGGTTGCATCTGTGGATACAAGGGCAAAGCAACAGTATCATCTGTGAACCAGCAGTTAGCGTAATGGCTATGTCGCTGGGCTCCCACGTGGTTGACCGTGGTTCGTGTCCCAGACCCAGTGGCTTAAAACTCACGTGGGGCGCGTGTGCGTGCGTGCTCAAGATCCCGAGAGGAGAATGGAGGAGAAGGGACTGCAGCGTGACCATCCCCCCTGGGGAGTGATTTCTTGCTTTCTGTCTCTATGTCTCTGTCTGGCGAGCGCACACGCCTTATAGTGAAAAACTTCAAAAAAAAAAAAAAAAAGGCAACAGTATCATCAGAAGTTTTAAGTAGAGAAAATGTTGTAGGCTTGGTATAGAATACACTAATAGTAGCTGCATGCCCTGTTTGTTTTGTGTTACTTTGTTTTACTTTGTGTGTGTGTGTGTGTGTGTGTGTGTTTAAAACAAAGATCAGGGTAAACCTTATCATAGCTACTTTTAATAGAAGCGTTGAATGTGTAAAATTGATTCCTTCCTGGCTTGCTGCCATTTAGTGTTCTTGACCTTCAATGGTTGTTACTAATGAGGTAAAACATTAACGATCTGGGGAAAAAAAAATTACATATGAATCAATGTAACTTCTGCATTATACTGAATTTTTTTTTCTTTTAATTTGGTGAGGTAGGTAATTCATGTTGCAGAAACACATGTTGTAGAAGAACACACTGTTCCTTCTATCACAATAGAATTTGTGCAGAACTTGTCCAATGTAGTTTCCTGAAGTGTGGAAGGCCTCAAGGAGGCAGGTACATATTGGAATGTGCATTTTTGCATCCTTTTTTTTTTTTTGTTAAATGTTGGTTATAGTAGAGCTGTTGTTCAAAGATCTTATCCAGTAATGTTAATTCGAAAGCTACATTTATTTAATAACATTACTGGCTGCACAAAACATGTTTTGCTGTCAGGCTGTCAATATTTCTAAGTGTATGTAGGTGGTATACTCTTGGGAGATTTGCAAACTTACAGTGGTGTTCAAAGGAGATTTTCTACACCTTGGAACTGACTTTTCATTAACTGGTATGATGGCCTTATTGCAATAGGCTTAACATAAGTAGCACTATTTCACAATAATACATTATTTAACAAGTCTATTGGGACAGAGGTTCTTTTATAATAGAGTTCCAAATAATCAATTTCAAGGTGTTTTTCACCCACCGGTGGCATGGTGATTAAGGTGGCTGCATCCCTCATGGCCAGCTACAGTACAAATCCTGGACCCACCAGCTTGAAAAACATGCTGGGTTTGTATGCATGCATGTCCAAAAATCTCAAAAGAGGAACCGGAGAAGGTATTGTGGTGTGACTGTCCCCCAAAGGGGCAGTCATTTTCTCATTTTCTTCTCTTTCTGTTTCTCAGCGCAAATGCCCTGTGGAAAATTAAAGTGCGTTACCTTTTTTTTTTTATTTTTTGAAATAGTATGAGGCTGTTTGGGAAAATTAGTATAGAACATTCCTGTATATTCCCCTGATAACATTATAAATAAACATAGTTCAATTATTAAGCCAGGTAGTTGACACCGACAAAGTATTATTACCTCAACTACAGACTTTATTCAAATTTTAGCAGTTTTCCCCACTAATGTCTTTTTTCTGGACAAGGTTTTTTTTTTTTTTTTTTTCCCCAGGATTGCATGTTTTATTTTGATTTTTCATGTCTTTTTAACCTCCAATCCGTGACAGTCTTTTAAGTCCTTGACACTTTTTTTTTTTTTTTGGAGAGGTTTTTTGCTATAGGGCGCGTGCACTCGCCAGAGAGACAGAGTCAGAGAGACAGAAAGCGAGAAATCACCCCCCAGGGGGGATGGCCACGCTGCAATCCCTTCTCCTCCATTCTCCTCTCGGGATCTTGCGCACGCACACACACGCGCCTGGCATGAGTTATAAGCCACCGGGTCCAGGACGTGAACCGCGGTCGACTACGTGGGAATCCAGTGACATAGTCATTACGCTAACTGCTGGTTCCCAGTCCTTGACATTTTTAAAGGGTATTCTACTCACTGAGGTTTATGCCTAAAGTCAGACTTAGGTTCATGTATAGGTATATATCAGCTGTGCTAGCTATTGGAAATATTTAGACTGATTAAATTCATTAGCAAATCAATTAAATGGGAGGGAAGGCATAGATGGCAGAGGGTGAGGGATAGGGAATCAAGGATGGCAAAACTAAAAAAATAACAAAGTATACAAGACATAAGAAATGGAAAGTTATTTGCTGATAACATGTATGTTGATGTGCTTGATTGAGCCAATATACAGTGTATTTGGATGGAAAATTCATTTGTATGCTGTAATGATGCATAGTGAATTAATGTAAAAAATAAATTTAAAGAGAAAAAAATAAATAAAAAAATAAAGTCAACAGATAATTAACCTTAAAAAATATAAAATAAAGGGTATTGGCCAGTTGTATTGCAGAGTGGAGCTCCCCCTTTCCCTGTTTGAGGCCAGATTGTCTTCAGATGGAGAAGGATGATGCTGATGGTGGTTGCTGAGGAAGCTATGGCATTGGTAGCATGGGGGTGAGGTGGGAACCCTGGGTGAGTAGGCAGAAGGGAGAGCTGGGGAGGAGGGTAAGCTGAGCCCTTACCTGAGGGCACAGGAGGAGGGGGCTGCAGGATCTCCTGTGGCCTTGATTCTTGTCAATTACTTGGGACCACATGCTTGGGTCATGACTCAAAGGGCCCATGACTTCTAGAGACAAGTCTACCAGTCAGATTTATGGTTGGTTGGTAGGAAGCCAGGAGGAAGA